AGGCCACCGCAGAGAGCTGGCTTGGAAGTAGAGCAGCCAGGACTCGAATCAGCACCTATATGGGATGCCAGCACTGCAGGCAGCAGCCTTACTTACTACGCCACAGTCCCGGCCCCAAGAAATGACTCTAAGACAGAGAAATCTCTGTTTATACAAGTGCTCGCCTTCTACTGTGTATTTCAAAATAGCGGGAAGAGAGGGTTTTGCTGGTTCTTATCTCAAAGAAATGATAAATGTTGACGCTGATGAACTGCTTCATGGTTCTTGTATTTTTCAGTTCTTTTCCTCTACAGAGGAAGTGGAATGAGTAAAGGAGTGGTTTTTGGTAATTTTCTCTAAATGCTTCAAAAGGCAAGGATTGGAAGGCTACAGACCTGCAGGCCAGATCCGAGAGACAACATCTTTTTTTAAAATAAAGTTTTATTGACACACAGCCGTGCTCACCCATTTGTGTATCCTCTAGGGCTGTGTTCCTGTCCGGCAGCAGGGTTCCGTGGCCACAGATGCTGTGTGGCCCACCCAGCTTGCAATATTTACTACATGTCCTTTTGAAGAAATTCCAGACAGACCTCCAGATCTAAGTGGGTACAATCTGCAGGAATGTTCCGTCAGCAAACAGGTTGAAGTGACCACTTGATTTCTGGCAGGGTCAGGTATTGAGAATCCAAAGAGAAATGCAATTATTTGCCTTCAGTCCTAGATGGGCATGGGATGCTGGCTGAGGATCCAGCACACTTCTGGATTCTGAAAAGTCCCTTCATAATATTTGCAGACAAATTCTAAACTGGGAGTTAAACTCCCTAGCAGAGAGTTGGGAAAAGGTGAAATGTCAAGAGAAACAAAGGATTTTTGTGCTTGGAAACGTGGAAAAAGGAATGAAAGACGTGGCTGAACTAATTCTAGGCTTTAAGGTATTATTTAAAGGGTCTGAGAGCAAACAGTCAAATGAAAGGGATAAAAGATGAAGGGGGAAAAAATTAGAGAAACGAGTTAAAAAGAGGTTTGTTGAGTTGGGCTCTGGAGCAAGGGTAAGAACGCGGTGCCCAGCGGAGCAAGGCAGGGAACAGAAATACGCCAGGCAGACAAGGTGTAGGAAGAGTCGCCTGCACCCCTAGGCTAGCTTTAGCTTTCTCGGTTTATTTACCAGAACGGGAAGAAATCAGCTGCGGGGCAATGATGAAGGGCGTGGTGCAGCCCGGTGGGATCCCGTGGGAGAGCCTGTAGGGCACAGCTCCTTGGGAAGGGCAGCATCAGTCCTGCCTCTTCTCTCTGTTTGCCAGAGAAAGTGGAAATCCACATCTTTTGGTGAAATAACTCTTTTGGGACCTCGGAAGGCTGTGAGGATGAGTTTAGAAACCTTAGCGATTGAGACTTGGGCAGAGTCTCATGTTTTTCGAGAGAATTTCCCACACCGTCGGTGGAAATTGGTATTGAGGTTCCTCAGAAAACCGAAGCTAGAAGGGTCATGTGATCCAGCAAGCGGAGGGCGGGGTGGGGGGTGTCCAAAAGAAATGAAATCCGCCTGTCCCAGAGACATCTGCTCTTCCAGCACCATTCACAAAGGCCGAGAAGTGGAAGCAACCTCAGTGTCCGTCAACTGAGCAATGCATAAAGAAAATGTGGCGTTTACTGTACAAGACGTGGAATGCCATGCAGCCATAGAAAAGGGTGAAATTGTGTCATTCACAACAGCAGGGATGGACCAGGGGGACATCACGTTAAATGAAATAAGCCAAGCATGGAAACACAAATATTGCCTCGTCTCACATATATGTGGAATCTAAGACAGTTGATATCATCAGATTTAGCAGTAGGGGATGGTGATCAGAGGCGGGGAAGATTTTGAAGGAAGGAGTATAGGGGATAAGGAGAGGTTAGCTGGTGGGTACCATGTCGCAGTTAGAAGGAATAACTTCTGGTATTCTATTGCATAGAATTATTGCATAGCTAATGACTGCATATTGTATATTTCAAGATAACTAGAAAATAGGATTTTGAAAGTTTTTCACCACAAAGAAATCATAAATGTTTGAGATGATGGATATGCTAATTACCTTAATTTGCTCATTACACATTGCACACATGACTCAAAAACATATTATACCCCACTATGTATGGCATGTGTCAATCAAAATTTTAAGATTCCACCACACATGCAATTTATATGATTTGCAATTATCTCAGCAATACAGGATGTTCTAGAAGAAATAGCTGCTGCGCGGGCTTGGCAATCTCTGGCATTCAGGCCAGTGAGATAAAGTGACTGGACTGAAGTGACTTGACTGGTGTGACTGCTCAGAGTGTAGACACCCATGGAGCTGTCCCTGGTGTCCCCACTCTACCACCTTCTTTCGCCTTGGCCTTCACCCCAACAGTTCCTCTGCTGCATCCACTGTGTGGTCCAGGCCGAAGGCAGCTAATCACATCCAAAGACAATAGCGGATCCTGGCTTCCGACCTTACATTTCCTTGAGGTATTTAAATTTTAAATGAGGACTCCAAGCTGGAAACGTTTTCTTCTTTCTTACCCCTCCCCCCCAACCCAAGTACCAAAGCATTATTAAAGAACAAAGCTTGAAGAGATTGAAGGCCCTGGATAGATCCCGGATGACACAGCACATTTTTAGATTCCAAGTAGCATCAATTAACTAATCTAATAATAACGTAGCTTTGTTCTAGGTCTGGGAGTTATCAGGAATCCCTTTTGCTACTCTTGATGACCTCCTAGCCTTCTCAAGAAAATAAATCCAATTAATGGGAGCCAATGCGAAATTCTAAGAAGAAAAGTGTGTGTGTGTGTGTGTGTGTGTGTGTATCTAAAACTAGAAGCAACCAAATCCCTTTACTGGAAAGATTCTATTTTAATGCCGGCCACTCACACAGCTGAACTTGATTATGAAGAGAGAAATTGTTTGGTTCATTAGGCTTTAATTATAGAGATGAATTATTATGGATGAAAAGAGGGAGCTACAGAATTATGGAGATTGAATTCCAGTTCAATAAGCAACTTCAAATATCTGCACTGGGGACATAAGCTGGTCATGTTCTTTTTTTCCCGATTAAATCTGATGCCTGTTGACAAATGATGTTACAATGTCCGTGGAAAAATCTTAATGTCTTCAGTGTGCTAGTGGCTATCATTTAAATTACACTTTTTCCCTAATTATAGTTTCTGATGGTGGTACGGAGATAGATAGGGCTTACTTCCACTTCAATTTATCTGGTTTAATAATGACAAAACGTTGCGTTCTTGTCTTGCCACTGCCCAGGAAGCCAAATTGCTTTTATAGTTGTTCAAAATCCTTCCCTGGCTCCCCAGGACAGGCAAAGATGAGCTGAAAATTCTCAGTTTTGTAGCTCAGGACTTTCAAAGACACATCCAGCCTAAATCTACATTACCATCCAGGATTTTGTTCTAAAGGAACACAGCTTCTGCTGTAACAAAGACCTGTTCGCTGTCTCACAATTAAGATTGTCTCTACATATTCCTGTCTCTAGGAGTCTAGGCACAGCTGTAGCTACCTTGACTTTTCCCTTTTAAATTCCACTTTCCTGGGGCCGGTGCTGTGTGTAAGGGGTAAAGCTGCTGTCTGCAGTGCCGGCCTCCCATATGGATGCTGGTTCAAGTCCCAGATGCTGCACTTCCGATCTAACTCTCTGCTATGGCCTGGGATGGCAGTAGAAGATGGCCCAAGTCCTGGAGCCCCTGCACCCACATGGGAGACCTGGAAGAAGCTCCTAGCTCTTGGCTGCAGATCAGTGTGGCGCCGGCTGTTTTCACATAAACACAATAATGAGTGAAGTAATATAATATCTAGGATTTGCTTCAAATCTGAGAGGGCAGAACATTGGCTATGGTACAGAAGAACTGCAAAGGAGAACAGCATCTGTCCTTCTACCCTTCCTAGGTTTATGACTGGGGCCCTCATGGCAAAAAATAGATTTATAAGAGAAAGGCATACAAATGTATTTAATGGAAGTCACACATGACATGGGATCCCTCATTAGAAGGTACAAACGAAGACTCAAAAACAGTTACACCTGCCTACAGGTGTCGTTCAAGATCCAAAGGGAAGTGGCTCCAGAAACCCCTCCCTCTGGACTCTGCGGATATTCAAGTAATTTGCATAGAATCTATGCACATTCTCACGTGAACATTGATTATTCTCTAAATTACTTTAACACCTAACACCATACAAATGTCAAATAAATTTAGTTGTTATCCTGTATTGCTTAGAGAAGAATGACACAAGATTGACTACGTTCATTCAGTACAGATGCAATTTTTTAAAAAATACTTTCAACCTGAGGGTGGTGGAATCTATGGATTTGGAGTCCATGAACAGGAAGGGTTATTATTCTGCTTGGTCTGATGAAGAAGGGAGAGTTACGTTTCTCCAGGACACGGTGTGATCTCTTGGCAGTGAACTGGGGGAAACTTGGCAGGGCTTCTCTGTCCTTAGTCTTGCCTGTGACCCTGTGTCTTCAGAGATAAATGTGCTCTATCCTTCCAGGTGTAGGTAAGCACCTCTTACGTAAGAGGCTTAAGGTCAGAAGTTTCTTCCAAGGTTTTATTACTTACCTCAAGGGAGAAGGCCACAGAGACTTTCCTGTTTCTGCTGTTTTCCCAAATTGTGCCAAGCTGCCGTGTTTTGGGGTGACAGGTCCTGAACTACAGTGGAAACAAGATCAACCACATCAAGACTGACAAAGATGGATTCACAGAAAAGATCAACGGAGGGTCACTGCTATTTGTTGAATTTGAGTATGGTGGGGGAGGTTGCATACTATGCTATGTACTTTCATGTGTTTAAAATCGATGGGAAAGTTTTTCAATGTTTAGATAAGATAAAATAATACAATGAAGAGTCGCAGCAGCAGCAGGAGAGCCCTGGAAGGGGGGCACTCCTCATAGCATGGAAGAGCCCCTTGGCCTTGGGTGAGCCCCTAAGCGTCCCTCAACCTTCCCAGCCACTCTTTCAAGAGGGTCTGGCGAACACCTCCAGCGCAGCCACTTCCAGCTCCTAAGTGCTAAACATGTGGGCGTTTAGGAATCCAAGATTGATTTTGGGGAAATGGAAGACTCTGTAAACTCTCCAGAGCTGATCACTTTAATACCAGTGAAGTATAGCCCCTCTTGGGAGGGAACTAAAACACACATAAACTCAACAGGGGAGGAGGAGGAGAAGTTCAGAGTCAGAGCATCACAGCTGGGGGTGCACTGGCAGGCACAAGGTAATGAGGCTGCCATCCCAGAGTTTGTTTTGAGAGCAGTGATTTGGCAAGAAAATGTTCTCTCTCCTGAGATCAGTAAGCTTCACAGGCCCAGAGGGATTCCAACTTGCAGCCTGGGGTTCAGCCCAGACTGGGTTTACAAAGTCACTCTGGACATATGGCCAGGCTGAATCAAGAAATCAAAAGAAATACGAAATCACAGAGTACAAGGAGACCAAGCAAAGCAGAGGTGAGGCGGCGGGTGGAGAGCCATCCAACTACAGCAGGGGTGTTTTTATCGCCAGAGAGTGTGGAGTCCAAGGATTCTGTAATCAACTCCAGCGAATGTTCACTCTTGACAATGAAGACTTCTTGAGGTGCAACTGGGAAATGCTTCTTTCTTCCAACACCGGTCTGTGTCTCATTGCTGAGTCCTGGGTGGACAGGAAGAATAAATAACATGTCAGTTTCACAATCATCAAGAGCCCTTCCAAGAGTTGAAGGCAGAGAACAGGTTACCTTGAGCCTTGCCATGGTTAACTAGCCTCTTCCAGAGAGGCCAATTCACATAAATAAACTGTAGGCAGGAAGAAAAAAAAACACACACACAGTCCTGTGCGTGATCAGAAGGGAGGTATTTGCATGTTACTAAGCACACGTGTCAGACATCTGGGGGCAATGATGTGCACTACACTTGTCTGCATGATTGACTTTTATTGATCACAAGCCTTGATTACTGGAGTCGGTCCCTTTGATGTTCGTTGTTCCTCCAAAATGATGCTGAAGCCCCAAATGCTCCATGTCATATCCAAAGTTTAGTGGAAAACAAAGCAAGAAGAAAATCCACGCTTCTGACTTTGATGATGTCAGCAGCTGCCAGAAGAAGGAAGAAGCATCATGGGTTGAGCACTTACGGTGGTGCCGGAGGCCTTAAAAAGCTCCATCTTCCGTAATCACCTCAATAAAGAGAGAGCTCCGTGCCTGAGAGGTGAGGAAATGCCCAGTGACAGAGTTGGAATCTCAGCTAGATCACACCCAAAGCCCTCTGCACTCTGAGAAATTTTTCAACCTGGGTTGCACATTGCAGTCACCTGGAGAGCTGCAAAGAAGGCAATGCACTCCTCTCTCGAGTTTTGGACTCAGTTTGGGGTCTCAGCTACTGGAGCCCCAATAGTTTTTGTCTTGGGGTGGATTCATACAAATGGAGGGAATTGCTAACCAGCAGAAAGCCTCTCCCCTCTCCCTTTTCCCCTCTCCCCTCTCCCTTCTCCCCTCTCCCCTCTCCCTTCTCCCCTCTCCCCTCTCCCCTCTCCCTTCTCCCTTCTCTCCTCTCCCTTCTCCCCCCTCCCCCCTCCCCTCTCCCCCTCCCCTCTGCTCCTCCCCCCTCCCCTCCCCCCTCCCCCCTCCCCTCTCCCTTCTCCCCTCTCCCCTCTCCCGTTTCCCCTCTCCTCTCTCTCTCTCTCTCTGCCTTCTCCTTGATGGTCCTAGAATATCCCCCAAAGTGAGCAGGCAGTGTAGTGGGGCATGATGCAGGCTCTGGGAGTCAATAGCGTGGACTCAACTCCCTCCTCTGTTCACCGTCTAAAACCAGTGTCTATTGCATCCTGTGGTGCTGGCAGCACAAGGAAGCGGAAGCTTCAGAGCACCGTCAGCTCTCACTCCATGCCGCTGCTAGAATCAGACCCCAGCCCAGCTCAGCACAAGCCAAGGGGATGCCAGGCTGAGGTCACGTACTCAGCGAGGAGAGAGTTTTCCTCCTGATGTTGACCTTGATCCTGATCCTCAGTCTCAGTGTAGTTCCTGACGAGAGACCTCACCTGAAACTTTGACTCCAGCAAGCTGAGGGGTTCACAACTCTAATTAATCTCTTTTTCTTTGTTTCAAATTTGCCATACAAAAGAGCTTAAAGATCATTTTTAATAAAATAATAACCAAACTTGAAGTGCTCTCCTATCAAACACATACACCACTGGGTTTTCAAAATATTTTCCAGTGATTTGGGAATCACATTTAGTGTCCCCACAAGTCATTATTGAACAAATCTATGACGAAACATCACTATAACCCTGAATCATTTGATTTTTACCATTTGGTCATTCAGTACTGACTTGATAATAACCCAACTAGGAAACCTGTTGCCTTCAATGACATTAATACACTATCTGTAGCATATGTCCCCAAAGAATGAAGACTGATACATTCAGACACTTACTATTTGCTATCTGTCACCAGCCTTGTGTCAATCGTGATGTCACTTGCATTTTCTGCTAAGAGTCTCGGTATCTACAAGCCTTCAGTTGTATATTGTGCTTGTATCCTGTTATCAGCTTTTCTTATCCTGTGTAAGAGTAAGCTGCTTGAGAAAGCGGCGCTTGCTTAGGGTTTAGAGGAATCGAACGGACAAGTCAAGAGAGTTGTGTTCTCTTCACTCTAGAGGGACTTAGAGATCTGCTAGCTCAACTCCTCATTGTGCAGCTAGGAAACTGAGGCCCGGAAAGTGGCTCTTCTTGTCTCCTGAGATTAGTTTGTCCCTCCAGGATTCATGTGTTACAGACTTGGTCCGTAATGGCAGGGTGGCGGCCATGGGATTTTTAAGAGATGGAGTTCAGTGGGAGGTCCTTAGAGATGCTACCCTCGGAAGGATAGTTCTCGGGGAACCCTGTGTCAGTTCCTGTTATAAAAGAGCAAGCCTGGTGGAGGATGGCCCAGATGCTTGGACCCCTGCACCTGCATGGGAGACCAAGAAGAGGAACCTGGCTCCTGACTTCGGATCGGTGTAGCTCCGGCCGTTGCGGCCATTTGGGGAATGAACCATCGGATGGAAGACCTTTCTCTCTGTGTCGCTCTCTCTCACTGTCTGTAACTCTACCTGTCAAATAAATAAATTAAAAAATCTTAAAAAAAAAATAAAGAGCAAGCCTGACCCCCCACACATACAACTTGGCTCCCTGTCTGACTGTGTGATTGCTGCCTCTCACACATGCTCCTGTGTGATGCCACTTGCCATAAGGCCCTGACCAGAGCTGAGTAGATGCCAGTGCCATGCCTTTGAACCTCTGGAACGGGGAGCTAAAATCAACTTCCTTTCCTAACAAGTTACTCAGCCACAGGCATTTCATTCTAGGAATGGAAAATGGATTGCTACATTGCCTGATGTCCCCCAGCTACGAAATAGCACAAAATGTCTCTCTCCTACTTACAGGCACCTTTCATGGTCAACGTTGTGCTCAAAAAGAGTGCAGTGAGGCACAAGGGCATGAGGGAGGATTGCTTCCAGAAAGCATAAATCACAACTGACTTCACATCAAAGGATTTCTCAAAGTAGTTTCCAAACTTCAGTGTGCGTCACAGTGATGTGGAGGGGGTGGGTGTTGTGGCAAAGTGGTTAAGCCAATGCTTGGGACACCTATATCCCATATCAGAATGGCTGGATTCAATTCCCACCTTTACCTCCGATCCAGCTTCCTGCTAATGTGCAAGAGATGGCTCACATACTTGGGTTCCTGCCATCTGTGTGGGAGACTAGGATGGAGTTTCTGGGTCCTGGCTTTGGCCTGTCCCAGCCCCAGCTGTTGCGGGCATTTGAGGGGTGAACCAGGATATAGAAGATCTCTCTCTCTCTCTCTGTCTCTCTCTCTCTCTGTCTCTTTTTCAAATAATAAATAACTTGGAGGGCCTGAAACAGATCACTGGGCATTTCATCTGAGTTTGGATTCCAGTACTGATGGAGTCTGAGAATTTGCATTGCTAACAGTAAGCCTGCATCTTGAGAACTAGAGTGCTGGGCAACCACAACAGAACTCGCCACTTGCCCACGCCCCCTCACTCCCAATTATTAGCAGTGCTGCATGAATGATTATTCCTCTTCTTCTCAAGCCCAGCGCTCTTCCCAAGGCATCGCTTTACTTCCGTACAAGGTACTTCCTGCTGGCATCCAGTCGCTATGTTTTCTTCCACCTTTTCACTGTTCCCTTTCTTCCTTCTGTCACAACCGAGACTCCTGGCATGTGTCTAACTAAGAATGAGCAACCAAGAGGAGCTGCTATGCCACAGGGGTCTCTAAGAGTCCAAACGCAGTTTGATGGGTAGGCCCTCACCTGGCTGAGGGAAGCCATCATTAGCATGGCTGTAGCCATGGAGGCTGTAAGAGTGGTTTCATCCTCTCAGTAAATCATTTCTTCTGATTAACTCACAAGTCCTCCAGTTGTGGGTCAAAGGCTGTCCATGGAACGTTGTTAACTAGAAGCATGGCTTCCCTGCTGTTGTGAGGATATCAAGAGAACCTGATGCAAGCTGGAAATCCAAAATCAACGCCCAAATCAGAAACGTTCTGAGCACCAATATGATGCCACAGTGGGAAATGCCGCACCTGAGGGTGTCATAGTCAAAATGCAGGTGCACCCCACACAGTTGCATGAAATCACCTTCAGGCTGTGTGTATAAAGTACACACAGGACACAGATGGATTTTGTGCTTAGACTTGGGTCCCATCCCCAAGGCATCTCATTATGTGCATGCCAAGATTCCAAAATCTGAAGCAGTCTGGAATCTGAAACACTTCTGTTCTCAAGGGATAAGGGAGAGTCACCCTATGCTAGGATGGCTCTTCCTTCACGATAGCCTCCTGACCTCTCCCCCTTGGAATGATGACCCGGCTGGAAATGCATCACCCAGTGGGCGTGTGTGTCTGGTGTAGGCAGCATAGCAATGCTTCCATCAACATTACATAGGGTAATGCACGTGCGGTTGTGTTTCCACTCCCACTGAATCATGTATTTCAACCCAAGCAAGTGTTTTATGACATCTGTCTCTAGGAAATACGATGGACACACTCCAGAAGCTGTGAAAAGACCTTTCTTTTTTTCCAGGGCTACAAAAATCGTTACAAAAACACATTCAAGGCTGGCGCTGTGGCTCAATAAACTAATCCTCCGCCTAGCAGCGCCAGCACATGGGGTTCTAGTCCCAGTCGGGGCGCCAGATTCTGTCCCGGTTGCCCCTCTTCCAGACCAGCTCTCTGCTGTGGCCCAGGAGTGCAGTGGAGGATGGCCCAAGTGCTCGGGCCCTGCACCCCATGGGAGACCAGGATAAGTACCTGGCTCCTGCCATCGGATCAGCACAGTGCACCGGCTACAGCGCGCCAGCCACGGCGGCCATTGGAGGGTGAACCAACGGCAAAAGGAAGAAAGGAAGACCTTTCTCTCTGTCTCTCTCTCTCTCACACTATCCACTCTGCCTGTCAAAAAATAAAAAAATAAAAAACATCCAGAGCCGATGAGAAAGGGACAAATTCAGTCTCCTGGGAAGAAACCATACTGCGCTGTACCCATTCATAAGAAAACTCAGTCTCTGGAGCCATGAATATTTAAAGAGCTTAATACCTACGTAATCTAATTCTTTTATAGCACCTTGATGTCTAAGCGTTCCTCTGGGGGGCGTGGTTTTGCTTCTTAGGAGTTTTCACGAGTACATCTCCCCCACCTAAATCCATGTCCATGGTTCTCGTTTCATCCAACCAGTCACACTTTACCTGCATACTACACAGTGCAGGGCAGTTGGTGAAGAGCACTGAACAGATGAAAGACAGCACAGGTAAGAACTGTTTGGCTATGGGGGATCTGCCATGGCGAGGGCACTCTCAAGGGCCGCTCCACTTGCCTTCCTCCCCAGCCAATGTCATTACCACGTACAGCATCATACCATTCTGTCCTTTGCAGTCTCTAATTTTTTCCAGCTGTGAAGCAATCAGCTTGCCGACACATCCCCCCTTTAAGTCTCTTGCATGTTATCTGGGGATTCCATATTTAAGAGACCGTTTCAGTCGCGTGTGTATGTGTGTCCATCCCGAGAATAAAGTTCCTCTTGTGCTATTGGGATGATGTCAGGGGCAGTTTCTCACCCCCTTCTACAAAGCTCTCCTTTTTCTGATGCAGCAATTAGTCTCCTATTAATAAAAAGACATTAGGTTATGCTTATTTATTTTTAAAGAATGACATCATTCCCTGCCTTAATGTCTAGCAATGGAGCAATTCATGGCTCTTTCCATTTATGACATCATGGAAGCTGATTGAACTTGGCAATTACCTTGCTGTTTTCACAACAGTGTGACCGAGGTGCTGAAAGGGGGGTTGGTGGCAAGAGGCTGAATAAACATATCTGTGACTGTGTGTCCTCTTGTTTTGTTAAGTGAACTTGGACCCAGTGAACAGTACCCAGAGTTCAGAGTACAAATATCCTGTTTTCAGCCCAGGGCAAAGCCACAACTCACAGTCTGAGACACTGAATTTGACTCCCTACTAATCTCTAAGTCTTTGGGTTGCTGACTATCAGAGATCTTGGGAAACTGACGGCTTGCTTACCCCAACTACAAAACTCCACTTCCTAACTTAACCGTTGTAGGAGCACACGAGCACGCTCTCAGGGATTCATAGGATTTTGAAAATTGAAAGGACTTTGAGGTTCAACTTCAGACACAGGGGAACTGGATCGTAAGTGACAGAGGAAGCTTGGTTAATTCTGCATAGTTAGCGAGTGGCAGGCTGGTTTTATTTCCACTGCGTGATAATTCTCGCTCGTAAACTTGCCACCCCTCTAGACTCAGATTCTCTTCCCATAAGTGGGACTTGTGGCATTTCATTTTATCTGGCTCTTTAAATTAATTAAAAATAATAATGATAGGCTCATCACCAGAGTACTCCAGCTAGGACTCATCACAGGTTGAATCATTTTTTTGTATGTGTAATTCAACTTAGTAGATGATGGCTGGAGCCTCTGTTGGCAGTGGAATCATGTCACCTCCCTGCTTCCGGAAAGATTCCATATTTAAAGGCCATAGCTTAGTCTTCATCAAAGACAGCAATCTTTCTTCTCAACTTTCATTATGGTCAAGCTCAGTGCAGTGGCTTTATCGATAAAGGATCTGGTTATGTCAGTCAGATTAACAAGATAATCAGATCTATGCTGGCTCACTGACAAAACTGCCCTCAGATCTAACTAATTGAATGACAAAGACCTAGCCTTTGACCAAAGGCAGTCAAGAGCAACTTGCTGCTTCTAAGAAGGCCATATTGTGACAGATGATGACAAGACCCAGAAACCACCCAGGACTTCACCTATATGCATGTATCCCCAGAATCAAGACTCAGATGAAAACCCTACATAGGGCTATTCATTTAAGGTTGTAAGCAGTTAATATTCTTTGAATATGATGGTATCTCAAAAAGCTCATGGAAACGTAGAAATAAAATTCTAAGCTTACTTTGTTGCTAAAGATTTTTTTAAATCCATGAATATTTTTTCATTACTATATAGTCACATGCTCTGATTTTTTTTTGTATCCAGAAATTTTTTGCACCAAAATAAACTCATGAATTTTTTTTTAATTTGAAAGGCAGAATAATAGAGAGGAGAGATAGAGAGAAAAAGAGGTCTTTCACTCTTTGGTTTACTTCCCAAGTGGCTGTAGCACCCAGAGCTGGGCAAGGCTGAAGCCAGGAGCCTGGAACTCCATCTAGTTCTCTCATGTGTGTGGCAGGAGCCTAGGTATTTGGGCCACCATCTGGACTTGAATCAGGGCTCATATGGGATGCCGAAATCACAAGTTTCAAGTTAACTCACTGTGCCATGACATCAACCTCTAGACTCATAGCTTAAATGCTGTTTTGACATGAACTTTTTGAAGTATCCTCATACACTTAAAAGATTGTCACTTACCCCAGTAACCTATGAGTTTCAAAGGTTAAGAGAGATTGAGTACTTTGAGGCATTTTTAGAGCACAAGAGCTTTGTGAAATGAGAAGTGGTACTGAAATATCACTTCTTTTCAAGTGAAGATATTCATTTCTAGATGTAACATTGTCCCATCCATAGGCGGGTAAGCAGAGTACCTAACATGAACTGGACCAACAAGTGCACTTATAAGCAAAAAATACATTGAATTTGTCTGTCTAAAACTCCAGGTGGAAAGCGTGTCTACAGCAAAATACAATTAGTTGGACAGCATGGTTGGTACAGGAACCCAAATGTTAAAGACATACACCAACATTACCACCTTAGGGGCAGAAAGACATGATCATTTTCCTTATTTGTCACAAGGGTCATGGCCATCATTCCCACAAGGAAACAGGTTAACGAGAGAAAAACCTAACAGATTTCTTTAATCAAAGTTTTATGTGACGTGGGAGCTTCAAAAGCAAAGACCCCACGACTGAAGAACAGCTGCTTATTTTTATCCTTGGGCTTGATGAAGAGAGGACAGGCATGTATAAAGCATGATTCAACAAAGAGGGCAGAATCCAATGGTAGCTGACTGACGGGGAATCCCAGCAAGACTGCCTGCTCAGATTCTTCCTGGCCTCTCTGTGTAACAGCCTTTCATTCCAGGGATGGGCTGCTGCCCTCTGGAAGAAGGGTCATCAAGGGAAAAGGAAGAGAGTGGCCCCTTTAAATCTGATGTTTTGATTTGGGGGCCAGAATTCCTAATTTCCGTGACTTGCCTTGAGTAAGTGGAATTCTGGCTTCTGTGGTTTGCTTCAGAGTAGAAAAACGGACAAGAGACAGGAGGTCAGGAGCAGGCCAGAGCAATGTTGCTTCTGAGGCCTTGCTAATCTCCTTCAACACTCTCTAAAAAAAGATCCCAAACACTGGGTCTCATATTCTGAGCCCCAACATTGTAGACCTCACCAGGGGTCATCACAGTTTCTGAACCATAGATATGGCCAATGACACAGTGTGTTCAACTATTTTTGAGTCCATCATAACTTCTGAGGACCCCAGTATCAACATCCCTGAGAGAGAAACAAAATCTTTGGCCCTAACCAAGACCTATTGAATCAAAATCTTAATTCTAAGACCTCTGGTTGACTCATATGCCCGTGAAAATGAGAAATACCTTTTCCACTTTTTTAAAAAAATATTTGCTTATTTATTTGAAAGGCAAAATTACACAGAGAGAGAGAGGGAGAATGAGAGTCAGAGAGAGAGAGGTCTTCTGTCCATTGGTTCAAACCTCAAGTGGTTGCAATGACTGGAGCTGAGCTGATCTGAAGCCAGGGCCCAGGAGCTTCTTCCAGGACTTTCATATTGGTGCAGGGGCCCAAGGACTTGGGCCATCTTCTGCTGCTTTCCCAGGCACATTAGCAGAGAGCTGGATCAGAAGGGAAAGAGTGGATTTCAACCAGTGCCCATATGGGATGCTGGCATTGTAGATGTAACCCGCTACACCCCATGCTGGCCCAGAGAAACACTGTTTGGGAGAAGTAGTTATGAAACTTGTATACACGTTGAAATAATGCAGAATTTTAAAGTAACCCAAGTCCTGCCCTCAACTAGTCTGATTTAACTGCTATAAGGGTGCAACCTGAGCCTTGAGATTCTAATGTGCAGCAAAGCTTGCAAACCTCTGCTTAGAGCAGTGCTTCTGAAGCCTCAGTGATGAAAAAGCACCTGGAGCTACTCACTAAAGATTCAGGCTTCATCATGATTTCAGGGTCTCCACGAGCTAGGTCTTACAGCCTGTAGGTCCACTAACCCTGGTGAATCATTATTTTCAGGAACATTTAGGAAACATTGCTTTAGAGCAGTTTGGAGACATAGAACCCAGGGACAGAGTGTCTGCCAAAACCAGAGCTTCTTGGGTCTCCTCCTCCACAGCATCACTTTGTCACCATTGGACAACTCACTCATCAGGCACAATTATGACTTCATTCATGAGTTAACATACTCATTAATGAGTTGCTTTGACCAGCTACCTCTGTGTTTTAGAGTAGGATCTTTACCATCATCCTTCATTCAAAAAATACGTATTGAAGGCTATACATGTTAGATAATGAGCTAAGTCCTACGGATATAATGTTGAACGAAGAAGACAACTCCTAGTCCTATGACTTTATTATTCCAGTGCAGGAATAGGTAGTAAAAAAATAGTTTACAGGATAACTTATAGTTCAAGGACTATGCAGGAATAAAACTCATTAAACAAAAGCTACTGCTGACAGCAAAGCATAGTCTACCCTAGAGAGGTGCATTAGGCAGAGTTCTCCAGAGAAACAGCACCAATAGGACATGCATGTAGATATAGGAAGAAGGATTTATTATAGGGAGTTGACTCACACAATTATGGAGGTGGACAAGTTCCACAATAGACCACCTGCAGACTGGTCACCCTGGGGTGCCCACACCGAAAGCACAGAACAAGTCCGAGGGCCTTCGAACCAATGTGTCCAATGTGTCACCCTCCTTCTGAGGCAAAAGCCTGGCAACCCAAGGCACTGCTGGTATAAATATTGGATCCCAAGGCCAGGAATCCTGGAGGTTTGGTTATGTAAGTCAACAGAACCAGGGTCTACCTCATCTCTCAGAGGTCAACTTGACTTTTATGTTTGTTCTCTACAGGTTCCAGTGCACAATGAGAGCAGATCTTCCCTCCCTAGTCCACAGACACACATGCAAATCTCCTCTAAAAATGGGCTCACAGACACACCCAAAATAATTCTGTTCCAGGTCTCTAGCTATTCCTTAATCAATCCAAATTTACACTTAAAATTAATCATCAAAATAGGTTAATGGGGAAGTCTTCTGGGAGCTGAAGTTTAAGCCAAGATTGAAAAGACAAGAACCAATATAAAGATAGCCAGAGAGAAGGAATAGGTGTACAAAGGAATTGAACTAAGAATAATCTCCATGTGTCTGAGAACAGGGGGACAGAGATGGTTCCATAGTGACACAAGGATGCTTGGAGAAGCATTTGCAGAAACAGTTATGGAAGGAGATCATACCGGGTCTTGCTGATCTTGGTAAAGGAGTGTGGTAGTCAGTTTTTTCAGCACTTTAATTAAATATCTCATACAACTACTTATGAAGGAAGGAGGTTCACTCTGGCTCACAGTTCAGGAGGTTCTCAGATCAAGATCAGGTGGCTAATGGTGAGGACAGTGCATGACAGAA